TGAGGGCGGACCGCTTCGGTGAACCCATCGGCGAGCGGGCACGATGCCGCGAGGTCAGGCTCGGGTGTTCGAGGATGGGGGGGAGGACGAGAATCTGAAGGCGCAGAAGAGATGTTGCGTGTACAAGTACATTCGCGTGGGACAGAGTCTCGGCGAGAGATTCCGCGGCAATCGCATGTTGAAGTGCGTTTTCTGCGGGCACGAGTTCCAAGGCAACCAGTTCGTGGCGGCGCGCCATTTCAGCCAGGGCAAGGAATGTCCGGAAGTGACCGACGAGGCAGTTGTCGGCATCCACTGCAACAGTGAGTACAAGATATCCGACAAGTTCCTACAGCGGATCCAGCAGTTTGAGGGGCTTCACAGTCCGACGCCTGCGATGGATCCGCGACGGGACGAGGGGGGGGAGGGAGAGATGAGGGACGCGAAGGAGCAGATCGACGTGCACGACGACGTCGAGGAGGTTGCGCGGGCGTGGTCATTAGGGAGGGAGCGATGGAAGGGCGTTGTCAGCGAGCCGGGGGGGCAGCAGGGGCAGTACTTTGCATCGGCGCACGTGTCGGTTCGTACACGGGCAGGTGCCGATACGGCTAAGGCGGGTCCGTCTGCGGGGAAGAGGAAGGAGAGAGAGGAGGGGGCACGACCGATGGCAGCAGCCGCATCACAGAAGAGGCTGAGGCAGAACACGATCACGAAGTCATTCTGTTCAAAGTGGTAGATGGAGTTCAAGAAGAAGTGGCTGCGGTTTGTGTACAGTCAGCGCCTGGCGTTCAACGTCTTCCGAAGCGAGCCGTGGTTGGACGTCGTCCGACACTTCAAGGATTTGCGGGGGCCAGTGAGGGTGTTGTGGCCTTCAGAGAACGAGATTGCGGACATAGAGACCATTGTCCACACGGCGGACGATATGGGAGCTGATCTCGTGGAGGTCAGGGCTCCTTTCTATGTTGAGGGGGCCACCATTATGTCAGACGGAAGGAAATCACACGATGCTAGACCCATCGTTAACTTCCTTGTCGGCGGGTCACGTGGGGTGATGCTCGTCCGGACGATGAACAGGGAGGGTGAGCGGGATCGCGCGCCTGATGTGTTGGCGCGCTGGATCAAGGTGTTTGATGACTTTCCCCCTAAGTGGGTGAACGCCATCTGCACCAACTCCGCCTCGGCGTACGTTGCCGCGACGAACATGCTCAAGGGGCCCCATCAGAGGCCAGAGCATCGACGGATCACGTGGCTCCCATGCGCAGTGCATGTCTGCAACAAAATGTTGTCAGACATTGGCTGTTCGGGCCCATGGTCCAAGGACATCATCATGAGGGGGAGAGCGGTGGTGCACTTCATTAAGGAGCTTGGCGCCGCTCTCCACATTTTTCGGGGGGAGAGCAGTCAAATGGGCCTCATCTATCCTTGCGAGACACGTTTCGCATCCGTGTTCGCGATGGTGGAGCGTTTGCTGGCAGTGAGGTCAGCATTGGAGAGGACGGTGGATGGCGATACTTGGGGTATGGTCCCTTGGGACCACTCCGTTCGTCAGTTGGCTAGGTGGTCAGGTGGCAGGTGCGGCATGGAAGTTGGTGGGATTCCATGGGCGTCTTGTTCAGCATCATGGAGCCTGTGTACGACCTGCTGTGCAATATGGACCGCGGAGGTCTGCACATGTCGCCGGTGGTTGAGTGGACACAGGATCTGGCCCGCCGTGTAGCAGAGGAGGTTTGTGCACTTTCGGCAGATCTTGCACACTACATTGTGCAGAGGGTGTAGGCTCGATGCGCTCACATGTTGGAGCCGGCGCACGCCGCTGGTCACCTTCTCTGTCCCAGCCGACGGGACTTGCGGTACTTCGAGGGCGTGGTCAGCGACTACGACGCGAGCTTGGTGAGGGAGGCGGAGTCTTACATTCTGTCGCAGACAGGGTTTAGTGTGGCGAGCCGTGACTACGAGACCGGGGGAGAGGCGAAGACAGAGATGTACAGAGGTGCACAGGCGATGCGGAGACGTACGAGTCCCGGTGTTGGTGGTCGAGGTACAGGCAGTGCGCCCCGCAGTTGCAGGTTATCGCTCTTCGTGTGATGTACATGTGGACGTGCTCCTCTCCTGCGGAGAGGAATTGGGCTGTCCACGAGGGTGTACAGACGAAGAAGCGTAACCGGCTTGAGTTCGAGAAGGTCGCGAAGTTGGTTGAGATCTCAGCCAACGTCCGCCTTCTCTCTCATCAGCGGGCAGGCCGCGGGTTCGCGCTGCCATGGACTCTAAATGAGTCATTGTTGGACGTGGAGGGAGGTATCGGGATTCGCCCCTCGTGGAAGGGGACGGACGAGAGCAGGACGCGGGAGGAGCTCGAGGAGCAGAGACGTTCATGGCAGCGAGACCCATGCGGGTCCAGAGCTCCTCCGGGTGATGTGGGCGATGTTTTTGGGACTCGAGCCGCCACATTGCACCCGTACCCTCGAGACGACAGTGATTCCGAGGGTGACGAGGACTAGGACGAGTTGGCGGGCCCCGCTACCGCCACTCCTGTGGCGGATGAGCGTGATGAGTGGAGCGACCCAGAGGACGTCCGTAGACGGAGTGGCGGAGATGACCTGTTCGTTCCAGTTGATTTGGAGGAGGAGTCTGGGGGTCGTCATGGGAGCCCTGTAGAGCGTCCGAGGCCTACGTCCACTGGCCCACTTCCCGCTGAGTGGGAGAGAGATCCTGGGTCTGCACCTTTGAGGGGGGCAGAGTCGGGGATTGGCCATCGTCCTCTGGGTCGCTCTGGCACGGCATCATCCACCGCTCTTCCCACTTCGACGGAGGAGCTTCATCGACAACCAGCCAGTGCAGATCGATTGCAGAGATTGGTGAGGGGCCCGAGACAGCGATTGGAGGACAGATTAGAGAGCGGTCCTTCACCGGTGCAGAGGGACGACGAAGATAGACAGGGGTTGGTTGGTGGAGATGGTGGTGCGTTGGCCGGAGGTGGAGGCGGTACCGAGGTTGCTGCGGCGTTTGAGGGGATACTGATGGGCAGCGGAGGCGGTTTCAGTGAGTTTGGTGACATGGGTATGCCCCAGGGAGAGAGCGTGGGGCGGGCCCGAGGAGAGAGTGAGTCCCGTGGGGACATCAGTGTGGGTATGCAGGACTTACTGGGACAGATCAGCTTCGCGGACCCGAGTAGTTTCTCCCCTGCCATGCGCGCAGAGGTGATGTTGGGTACAGAGGGGGATGAGGACCGGACACCCCCTGGAGAGACATCTGAGGAGAGGCTAGAGCTTCCCTCATGGGACAGAGGGACCCCAGGACGCAGGAGCTCGCCCGTCTTGCGGCCAAGGACCGACGGAGGCAGCTGGGGACATTTACGCCGGCGTCCGTTGACGTGGGGCTAACTGCCCACACGGATCCTCCGGCAGAGGTTCACGACACCACGCAGCGGGAGGCGGCTTCGGCAGAGGTATCGAGTACGGGAGTAGATGTTCAGCAGGGGACGCACGAGAGCGGGTTGGCACCGACACAGGACCCACGTTCGGAGTCGGCGCAGCCTCCTGCGGTCCAGCTGAGGCCCGAGGAGACATTGCAGGAGGTCGCGGGCGTGCCTCTGCCTGTGGGTTCAGTTGAGGGTGTCGTGCAGATGTCCCCAGGTCTGGAGGACAAACAGACGGGGCAGTCAGCGTGCGTTAATGATAGTCACCTATCGGCACAGGCGAAACGCTGACCACCGGGGGGGACGGGGCCGTAGTGGGGGCCGTTGGTGTTGGCGGGTTGGGGATGCCGTCCGCAGCCGATCCGATGTCCACATCTGGCGGGGGGGACCCCGCACAAGTGGACAGGCGTGACGCGGACGGACAGGAGATGCCATAGACTTTGGTGGTTCGCACTGCTGTGGGGGCACCGTTTTTGGAGGGTTATAGGCATTGTGCACATGGCGGGGGCCCGGTCGAGGAGCGACGTGTAGGCAGGGGCGCGTGCATACCCCCGGTCCCTACTTTTGCGCCGTCACGGACGAGGCCGGAGATTAGGCATGTGGCTACGCCTCGGGGCAGCCTCCCTTTTGGTTTTATGACCGCTGAGGAGTTGGAGGACCATGGCAGAAGGGATTTGACGAAGATCGACCAGCGCATTTTGAGGTCAGTCCCGGAGGAGGGGAAGTTGCCTCACGTGCAGGACTTATCTTGGGGGCCAGCCAGCCCCAGCTTACCTTCTGGGTGTTCCATCGCAGTGCCATCTGGCGGGGCTGCTGGGGGCTTACCTTCTGGAGGTTCCGTCGCAGCGGCATCTGGCGGGGCCGCAGGGGACTTACCTTCTGGAGGTTCGGTCGCAGCGCCATCTGGAGGCGCCGCAGGCCCTTCGTCACCCTTGACCGCAACTCCGAGGGAGGGTGGCAGTCTCACTCCGAGGTCGGTTGACCGTAGACGGAGAGACACTACCGAGCGTGCGCGGGAGTTGCTGGACACCATGTTGTTCGGTCGCACAGATCGACCATGGAGCTAGACGAGACGGGTGACGACGGCGAGTGCCGGTCGTCAGCCAAGTTTGAGAGGGGCTTCCACGTCCGTGAGACGTCCAGATGTTGTAGCTTCAGGGTTTGGTGGTAGAGGCAGTGGCGGCGGTGGCAGCGGTGGCCAGGGCGATGACATACGTGAGGGTGCAGGCGTTGCCGCAGCGAGTGCAGTGGATCCGCCCTTGACGTACGGTTTGAGAGAGCCGTCGATTATTTTGCATGAGCCTGACGTTGTTACACGACCAAGGCAGGAGAAACATGTGCCATTAGATTGACGCCAGGATGGGGAGACTTCAGGGACAGACGGTCTACCTATGGCACACGAGTCACGCCGATATGATGACCTAGCAGCCGTAGGTGTAGGCAGGACGTTAAGAGGCAAGAGACTCATTATGGACGACGACCCCAACGAGTGTCCCGTCGCTCCCGAGCCTTCCGCTGGCAGACGTGGCGGCTGTGTTAGAGAGATCGACTGCGTGGCAGTGGTCGGAGGGGAGGTGGCGGTTCTCATCGGTCCGAGCGAGATCCGCGTGCGCACGACGATCGTTGACGGATCACGGACTTGCGTTCTCGTGACATTCTGAGTGTACTTTAGTTTTTTGTTATCCATGATAGACGTAGTGTCTCGTGAGGTTGTATTATAGTCTACTTTCCAGTGGGTGCTTTTCTGCGCAGACGTAATGTTTCGTGATGTTGTATTGTAGTCTACTTTCGTAGGAGTACATGACCATTTCGTTCGAGTTTAGTTTTTTGTTATCCATGACAGACGTAGTGTTTCATGATGTTGTATTATAGTGTACTTTCCAGTAGGCACTTTTCTGTGCAGTTTTCTACTTCGGAGATTATAGCTTTTTACTATATTTTAGTGTACTTTTCGTCGGCATTTTTGGGTTGGTACTTCTTTCCACAGACTGACGGGACTTCGACACGATGTGTCAGATTTTTGCTATTATCCATGCTATAGTGGTTTGCGTTTTGCTTCGGTCATTACATCTTGTCATTTGCGATGTTTCTGTTTTCAGACGACGAGTGTTTTGTGTGCTTTGAGTCCGCCCTTGCTTTCTCTGAAATCTCACTTCCCCCGAAGTGCTTCCAGGCCCCTCATAACCCAAACCATACCATAGCTCCCCCTGGCCACCGGCCCCCACCCCTGGCCCCGAATCCCCCAAACCACCTTTTTTTTTTTTTTTTGCTTGCAACCCTTTTTCAAAATTTATGTAACCGATTGTTTTGCGCTTAATTTTTTTTTTTTAAGAAGATATTTTGGAAAAAAAATAAACGAAAGGTCGCAGTTTGTGTGTCTGTGTGAATGTGATTATGTGTGTGTGTAAATGGGTGGCGCAGTTTGGGGGGGTCGTACGTGTTGGCGAAAAAAAAAAAGTGCCCGTGTGTGTGCGACGGTGTGAATTTGTGTGTGCATGTGCRTGTGTRAATGTGTGTGTGTGTCAGTGTGTGTGTGTGTGTAAATGGGTGGCGTGGTTTGGGGGGTTGTACGTGTTGGCGAAAAAAAAAAAAAGTGCCCGTGTGTGTGCGACGGTGTGAATTTGTGTGTGCATGTGCGTGTGTGAATGTGTGTGTGTGTCAGTGTGTGTGTGTGTGTGTGTAAATGGGTGGCGTGGTTTGGGGGGTTGTATTTGTGGGCGGGGATAAAAAAAAAAAAACGTCCCCGGGTGGCGCAGAGGCATGGTCGGAGGGGAGGTGGCGGGAGTGGGTGACCCTCCATTGGGTGGGGGTAGAGTGTCGGGGCTTGGCAGGKGGSGGTTTTGGGGGGGGGGCGGCCAGGGGGCCGTGGGGCAGGGGGGCTATCGGGCGGTCCCCAGGGGGCGGTTTTCGCACTCTGGGGGTCTGTTGAACTCAGACCACCACCCCGTAGCCCCCGTCGCACGCGCGCGCCCAGCGGAACCGCTTTCAATTTTTTCGCATGTGCGCGCGCGTAGCGCGTTTGAACGCGATTGAACACGGGGCAGGGGGCTATGAACGCGCGCGTTTGAACGTGAACGCGCGTTCACGGCGTTCATACGGTTACTCAGTGTTTTCATAGGTAACTTGAGTACATGGTACGTACTACGTACCTTGTTTTCGGGTTTAGACGGTAGTACAGATCGCAGGCACACAGAGCTCATGAGTGGAGAGGACAGTGAGGTTGAAGGATTACACCAAGGAGAGAGGAGTCTTACCCGTAGACTTGCACTCAGTCGGCCGACCACTTGCCTTGTGTTAGAATCGGGAGAGGAAAGAAGATTGTGGAGAGAAGCAAGGGAGAGGGGCTAGGGGCCTAGGGCAACAGCAGCCGACATTGAGAGGGCATTAGCAGCAGCCACAGTAGAGGCAGCCATGGCTACCGGCTCTGCTATGTCACATGCTTCTTCTCAGGCCTATTCGTCATGTACAAGTTTAGGTACGTCCGGAACTTCCACTAGTCAGTCTGCTGGCCTGCAGATCAGCCAGCAGCAACAATTGTCACCAGAGGATTATGAGATCCAAGCAGCATACGCTCTCCGCGACAAGCTACAACACCAGTTTCATGATTGAGAGGAAAAAAGAGAAAGAGTTAGAATTGGAAAAGTTAGACTAGGAGCAAGGATACAGGAACTAAGAAGACTAGAGTTTGTAGATGAGTCAGCACTTGACCTTGTTGTCAGGACCCTTCGGAACTCTCTGTTGAGTGTTGTCGCAACACAGGTCATACAACAGGAGTTGTTGGCCAAGCTAGTAGTCGGGCAGAATAGGATTCTGTCTGCGGTGGAGGCGCCTCGACTGACGGTGAGGCCACCGCATATTGTTGTAGCTCCCCCTACGGTTGTAGGTCCTCAGTTGACGTTGTCGCTGGTGGGACCATCCTTTTCCCCTCTGTATGGCATACCTCCACCAGGTGGTTTAACAGCAAGTGGTAGCATGCAGATTCCAATCCCTTCTTCACTTCCACATTCAGCGGCTGCTGCTACAGGGCAGCCGCATGTACAACAACCTTTGCAACAGTTACCACCGCAGCAGCAGGCATCGCCGCAGCGAACTCTTCCACAGTTCCGCCGGTTTCGCAACCGATGCGGCAGACACAAGGTTCTTTACAGTCCATGTAGTGGACACCTAAGATACCCTTGTTGAGTCCTAAACCCTCCTCTGGCGGTAGAGGACCATGATACCCGGGTGAGGATTGTGCCTACGTATGTAAGGCATAAACTCACAAGGACCGAGGAAGAGGTTATTGTTGCTGTATCCTTCCTAGAAGGATTTGCAGCCAGATGGTTGAATGGAGTAGTACAACAACAAGGATACAGTCAAACCTTCGATGGTTGGGCACAGACCCGGACATTGAAGGACTTTGTATGGATGGTCTGCAACAGGTGGCATGACCCTCAAGGGCCTGTGAAGGCCACCGACTCATTAGCCAGTCTGCGATCGAAGAGATACCGGAGAGTTCGCGAGGTGATAAACGTCATAGAGCGACTAATTGTTGTTCTTGGCGTGCGGTACAAACCGCGGGTCTTCCTTGCAACTTATTTGCAATATCTGCCCATAGATGTTAAAAATAAGTTGGTCGATGAAGCCTCCAGAGATGTGCAAAACTTCGCCTCGTTCACCAAGAAAGCCCTAGACATAGAGGCTAAGCTTGGGAGTACCCAGTGGGGACCGGTAGATGGAAGGAAGAAAAAGTTTCCTCGGGATTGGAGGAAGAAGGGCAATCTCATGTTCATTAACCACGATCGTCAAGCAATTGAGATCTGTGTAACCCTCTGTATGTCGTACGGGGTTTCTTTCGTACGTTCGTACGTACGGCCGTACGAACGGTCCCGTACAAAGTGACGAACCCCCCCCAAAAAAATAGAAATCATCGAAACACGGAAAAAAAAAAAAAAAAAAAAAAAA